CCTAGAAGCATATTAAGAATTAAAACCAAAACACCTCATGTCAAGAATAACACAGAAGTCAAGAAGAGGAACAAGCTTTTTTCATTAAAGAAAGTGGAACATTTTCACACAACGCAAATTGCTCAGGACCTTCACCAATTGAATTCTGCTTTCAATATTAGGTCAACCTTGCCTTGGAGTACTCCCAAGGTGCCTTCCAATCTAAATTCCTTAATGATCATTACAGAACTCACTCCCAACCCAAGCAGCTGATTGTAAAAGTCAACTTTCGGCACGAATCATTGGGAACTTCAGTAGAAGATGCACAGCTTAAGATGAGAAAGATTCGAAAACATGTAGAAAAGCCACCCTAAAACTGCAAGCTGGGCATAGAAAGTAAGTTAAAAACCAAGGACACCTTCACAGGAACAGCGCTGAAGTCACTATAGAAGTAAAGGAAGAATGGCTGATGCTCACAAACTCTTCAACCCAGATGGAAAGTTTTACAAAAAACAGGAGCACACTTTTTGTTTCACTTCTGTTACAGCAACGCCTTTGTCAAGTAGCTAGATAAACCATCAAACATGAAACAGTTGAGTTGGGAACAAAGTACAGAGCATCCACTTTTTAACTACAGTATAGAGTGGTTACTTTATTTTTTAAGTGTATTTTATGTCCTTTAATAGTATTCACAACTATAATCAATTTTACTTTTTACCTTCTGTGTGTAGTCAGTGTTTTCCAAACACGTGAAGCTTTTACTTCACAGAACATACTTTTTCTGCTGTTCTAAAGCTACAAAAGCCTTCAGGAAGTGCTATCACAAAACCTTCTTATAAAACAAGTTGTAGATGCTCTTTAAAATTCTATATTAAAGGTGATCACTTCATAACTCTATACAGGAAAACAAAGGAAGCAAACTATTGTTTCATCTATTCATGCCAAACAAGAGTTTTCTATTTAAGTCACAATTTAATAAAATGTAATTAGAAATCTTCTCCATGTTTTAAACAAATCTTACAAGGTTCAGATACCCTTCTCCTAGTTCAACTACAATTTAAGCCTTCCAGCTGTTTTTGTGGGTCTTTTTTGTAGCAGTAATCTTGTTAAACTAGTTTCAGCTAATATATAAATATATTCCGGATAACTTTATACTCGTGTTCTGTGCAAGTAACTAAATGGGGCAAAAAATATTCTACACAGTATCAAAGTGTGTTGGGAAGACCCTCAGGTGATCACTTTGAATATGCAAAACGTAACAGATCACAACACTTACTTTTCATAGACCAGTTCCTCATCCGTACAAAAGTAGTGGGTATTTACGGTACTTTTCGGTTTATTTCGTAAAGTAGCGAAGTACAACCGATCTGAAAGACAGATTAGGGCAGAGCGTCGGTCGGTCCGGGTAGATGCCCCGCCGGCTGCCCGGGGCACGCCTGTCACCCCGCGGCCCGGGGCGGAAGAGGTTCCGCCGCTCCTTTTTCTGCTGCGTGAGCGGCGGCGGGAGCGCCCGGACCGCTCCGCCCGCGGGCCCTGCCCTGCAGGGCCCCCCCGGGCACCCTCGGGAGCGGCCCCGCGGGCGGGGGAAGCTCTGACCCCGGGCACAGCCGCGCACAGCAACAGGTGCCGGCCCCGCGCCCTCCCCGCCGGGGAAGCGGGGGCAGGACCCGCCGAGGTGCGCCCGCGGCAGCCGGGGGCGGGCAGCCCGCCGAGCCCGCCAGGAAAAGGAGCCGAGCACGCAGCAAAGCCGGGGCAGGGAGGCGGGAAAGCCAGCGGGTTTCCTCTCTGAGGGAAGCCCCGGGACCCCCGCGGGCAGGGGACGGGGCGGCTCCCGCCCCGCTCTCACCTTTCACGAACTCCGAGGCTCCCCCCAGCACTTCGGAGGCAGCCGCCGGCGGCTCCATCTTAAACAGGGCGCGGAGCAGCGAGGCGCGGGGCGGCTCCGAGCTCATGGCGCTCTCGGGCAGCGCCGGCGGGGCCGGGGCGCGCTCGCTGGGACCCGACCCGCTGCCCGGAGGGGCCGCCCGCCGGGGCCCACGGTGCTGCGAGCGCGGCGGCCGCAGCCCGCATAGGAGCGGGAGCGGAGCCGAGAACGAGCCTTGGGACACGGAGGGCGAGCGCCCACAAGGACTCCAGCTCCACCCCGCCCCCAGCCGGGAGACGCCCCCGGATAAAGCGGCAGCGGGCGGTTACCAAGCGACCGGCGGCGCTCTGGCAACCGCGTTACGGAGCCTTTGTCTCCCCGGCCCAGGGCTGACGCTGTGAGTGACCGGCCCCCCCGCACTCGCTCCCCGGCCCGGCAGCGCCCCTGCTCCGCCAGGCAGCGCCTCTGCGTCCGGCGCGGCCCCGCCTCCGCCCCGCCTGCCCTGCCGCCCACCGCCCGGGCAGCGCCGCCGCGCCCCGCTGCGCTGCTCGCTGGCTTTCCCCGCCCGGGGGCGGCCCGTGGCACAGGGCCCCGCGGGGACAGGGCGGGTGCCGAGGTGCAGCTCGGCGGGGAGCGGCGCTGGGCCGGAGCGGTGCCTCAGCAGCTCGGGCGGGCGGCCGAAGCGGCTCTGGGGGAACCGAGTACGGGGGAACCGCGCAGCTCTCGCTGCCCTACCTGGAGCACCGCTCACCGTGACAGACAGGCCGGCTCGCCAATCAAGGGCCGCCCTCCTGCGCCTCCAGCCAATGAGCGAGCGCTGCCTGGAGAAGCGCCCCGCCCACGGCCGCCCGCGGGCCGGAGTTTGTGTTGCCCCTGAGGCGGGGGCCGGACCGGGCGGGGCAGAGCCGGGGGCAGAGCCGGGGGCC